GATCTCGTTTCCTGTACGATAAACCCAATGCACAGCTTTGCTGACGACAGCACTGTACATGCAGAAATTAGAGTGCCAAGCCGACCTTTGCTGGTGAGCTGGAGATAAGACTAGCAGCGACTTCTTCTCTGACGAGATAGTAATATATCTTGAATAACAAGAGGCACCCTAGCGGTCATCCGGTTTCGATGGATAATCGAGTTCTAGCAAAGAACCGTTCATTTCGGTTATTTAGACCAAGGACTTGATCTGGGAGGGACATATCTTGCCAATCGCGGCAGTCGCCGGGAAAAAGCTAGGGTATTTGTCTGTACTACGTCCAGATAAGACCTAACCTCGAGTACTGCTCACATGTTTGGGGTGCCTCGATTATACAGGGTGCGGCAGAGAGGACGGACGTTTTTGGGATGGGTAGTACTCTCCGCCTCCGTCTACGAGAGAGGTGGGGAGGGTGCCGTTTGACTCGTGAGATCCTAGCATTATTTTACCAGTTGTCGTTATGGAGCCTTGGACGGTGGAGCACCGCGTTTTCGCAAATGATTGTTTCGTCCGAAATAATGAGTCAGTCATCGTCGTACAGCGTCAGTTTCGTCGCCACTTCAACATTCATCGGAATAGAGCTGTTCCCTCTCGAAACACCATCCTTCGTTGGGTTGAATCACTGCGCAGGCGTGGTGAACTGATCAACAGAAGACCAAGAGGAGCGCCGCGAACAGTTCGAACTCCTGAAAATGTTGAACGCGTTCGACAGGTTTTTCTTCGCAGTTCGACTCGATCTGCCCGGAAACATGCTGCTGCACTTCACCTTAATGATCGTTCGGTAAGGCGAATTTTGCAAATGGATCTCCGCTTTCACCCTTACAAATTGGCCATTGTGCAACAGTTACAGCCCGGAGATTATGCACAACGAATGAACTTCGCACGTGAGATGGAAGCATTGATCGATCAAAATGAGAACCTCATGTTTTTTATGAGTGACGAAGTCCACTTTCACAAGCCACAAGCCCCGAACTCTGGACGAATTGAAGGGCGAAATTCGCGTGGAAGTCGCCCAAGTTGAGAGAGCGACGTTAGAGAGAGTTTACGCGAACTTCCAAGAACGCCTCCAGCACTGCATCAACGATTTCGGCCACCACATGCCTGATGTGATTTTCCACATTTGACTGTCTCAAATGCTATTTCCTTGTGAATCTGATTCCATCAATAAATTTGTTTTCGAGTAAAAATTAACTATTTTATGATTTTTTTAAAACCGTCCATCCTCTCTGCCGCACCCTGTATTATCTATGCTCGATGTTATTCAGAAGAGAGCTGTGCGACACATCGATGACTCTTCTTTAACTGACAGTGTTGGGTCCCTTTCGCACCGACGGACTGTCGGCGATCTGGCTCTCTTCTACCGCTCTGTCAATAGGCTTTGCTCCTCAGAGCTCTCCTCGGGATGAGCCTCCAGACATGCCCGTATGACTCCTATTCTAAACGTGTCGAACTGTTGGGAACATTCTACCTGGGCATGCTTTTTCCAGTTCTACTAACTCTAGGCAGTTCAAAAATCGGATAAACAAAGTGTTTTTAAGCTCCTTATAACAGCCGCGGCGTTCTGGTATTCCGGATTATGATTACCCGGCTGCTCCATAAAAAATAATATTACGCGATACGACTCTACTACTACTACCGTATTAGTTATATCGAATTGAATTATCTCAGGCGCGCTATTATCAAAGTTTAACCGAATATTTCTTATTTATTCTATTTGAGAGTATGATTAAGGGGTTTTAAGATGAAAAAACATTCGGCTTGCCTGTTGAGAAGCAATTTTAGAGTCTGTACTCATGAATACCAATCACATCCGAAGCTCAGAGAAATGAACTGGTAGGTGTAAAATGTTTCTAGGTTGCTCTGGTTTCACCCATGATAAATGGTTAATTCTGCACTTCCCACGCAACGCCGTTATCAGCTCATAAAGGATCATGTTCACACACTAGTTATTTTGAGAAAACAAATTCAGTCAAACAGATCCTTACAGTCAGATCATAGACATTATTTTCCTGCCACACTGGATACTTAACTCGAATAGCGCGGTTAGAGGTTAGAAAACACTATGCTGTGACGCGGCAGAAATACGTCTGATACCTTACCAGAACAACAGCAGCCATCTTCCGAGAATAGCTTTAAGTGCTTATGTACAGAGAAACCTATGTGTGAAGTCTAACAGGTGCGTAGAAATATTAAGGTTGGGAGTGTATGAATGTACTAACATCAAAAAATTGAGATAAAACCTCCCTCACAATCCCCACTTCCGAGTTTTTGAACCTCTAATTTTTTTTTCAAAAACGTCAAAAGACAAAGTTTGAGCGATTTTAATTTTTTTGTTTTAGGCCTTTTACTCTGCCTCCACTTGCCCGATTTTCAAAAACTACAAAGCTTTGCATTCTTGGCGTAGTAATAATATTGAGGTAAAATTTTAGCGAAACCCGTGCGGTACTTCTCAAGTTATAGGCGGTTATAAACTAAGCGGACAGATCGACAGACAACCCGACGGAAATGAGTTGAATGTTTTTCCAGGAGGCGCATGTCATCCAAGCATCCAAAAAAAATATCTCATTTTCGCGATTACAATACTTTCCTGTCAGTAGGCGTGGGAAGTGAAAAGAATAGACACAACAGACTTTGATTCGTATGAAGTCAAATGTGTTCCTGTATTTGTATAATAAATATATTTCAATGAAAAACCATGGGATTTGTTGTTTTTCTCGTCTCCTGATGATTAAATCTAGACTGACCCAGAGGTATTCTCAAAATTCTGTTTTATTCAGGGAAGTTCATTATTTGGATAATTTTTCGAATCACAAACTCAAACCACTTGCTTACAAAAAAAAACTACACTAGAAAATATTTCCGAATATGAACTTAACTCTAACTAAGACACTAGAGAGTAAGCAAAGAGTGGCACCAATATGACTCTGTAGTTCCCACGCAACGATGTCATCAGTTTGTATAGGATTATGTTTGGCACAAGTGAAAAAGGTGTATAAGTACATGTATAACAAAAAATTGAATGACCTTCCTCCTCTCTGGGAGAAATCCCTTCAGGCGCACATGATCGTTGAGATGACCAATCCCGAGTGAATGGGGATATTGGCCTTCACCATGTACAGTGCACACAGCTCGCAGCATTGTGGAAATATGTCAAATAGGTGCAAAAAATTACTGGGGTTGGAGGAGTATAAAAAAACCAACGTAAACAATTGAGATATATCCTACCCCACTCCTTGCAGCCAATTCTAAGCCCCTACAAATTGCTTTCCTAAAATGATTAGGATCCTTTGAGCTTGAGCGATTTCTATTTTTTCCTTCGCCGCCACTGGATCGATTTTCAAAAACTATTGACCGTCAGACCGTCAGTCAGACAAACGGAAATGAGTGATATGATTTTTCGTGATGTACAAACTACACTGACTGAACTTTGACAAAATGATTATTACAAATAGAGTAGCACACTTCTTGTTAAAGTATAGTATATAGTACAGACAGACAGACTGACGGAAATGACTGACATAGTTTCTCGTCATGTACATACATGACATTTAATATCTAAAAATCAATATATCATTTTCGTATTTTTTCGCGATAACAATAATTCCCCGACAGTGGAAGTAAAAACGGATAACACAGTTTTCCGTTATATGCCATTTTTGCTCAAAAAGAAACACATACAGCATTTATATGTTACATTAGAAAAAAGATAGACTTCTTGTTGTGTTAAGTTGTCCTTAGTTGAGCATTTTGTAATTTTTTACCCGCACACGAGGTTTATCCTTCTGCGGGTTCTTCATTTATTTGTCCTCCATATACATTTTTTATGTGTAGTGTATGTGTATTTTGAATACAAGTAAATGTTATTATTTATTATAAAATTTGATGGGATAACTCAGATATAATCAATACATAGCTAGTTCCCCTGATGTCTACCGTCAATTCACAGAGTTACACCTAAATCGTATAAATAAAAATAAAACTATATAAATTAAATAAAGATCAACTTAGAAACCCAGTAACGATGCCATAAAATGCTTAAGTTTACACAAAGCTTTTTGTTTAATGAACTCTACCATCTGGTAAATCATAAACCTGAATGATTGTATACGGGGTGTTAGGGAAATAATACTCGTAACTTTAAGAGCTGATTACTTGCATTATTCTAAGCAAAAAAGTTCATTATAACTTATGTCCAAAAATCAATCGTTTTCGACGAAAGTGAGTCGCACGACGACCGCAATTAAATCATCGAATTGTTTACGTTTGTATGATATTCCTGTTGAAAATGTGTCTTGAATTATTGAATATTTTTACGCAATTTTTTGTGGCTAATATTTTTTTATTTAATAATGCTTTCACTACAGTACATTTTCTTAAAAAAAAATGACAGAACCGGTACGTGGCGATACACACCACCAATCACCACGATTATCAGGCACTTACTTGAAACAATGCGATGCACGAAAAAAGAAAAAACAACATCCTTAAATCACATAATGTTACAGTTAAATATGTTAGTAATCACAACAACACGCGATGATAATGCAGTGCAGGCGGAGTACGACTTTGCCAGTTGGTCGACGGATTTTGTTTGTCTGTTTTTCTTCGGAAAATTGTTTAATAAACAAGAAAATTATTTTGTTAGAGACCGTTAATTAATAAATTAATTATACATTAATTAATATAATAATTATGATACATTTTACGCTATTAGACTTATGAATTTATATTACTAAGATGCAAAATTAATTTATTTCATGTCTAAAAAGGAATAAGATCAGCATTTTTTTGCTCCGAAACGGTTGATTTTCGGACATAGGTTATAATGAACTGTTTTGCTTAGAATAATGCAAGGAATCACCACTTAAAGTTACGAATATTATTTCCCTAACACATCTAGTGGAGCCTACTCCGAGGTTTTTGTGCTTTTACATCTAACAGTCATCCAATCCAGTCCTCTAATCAATCATTATACTACGTCATTTTCAATAATTAGCCTCCTGTAGTAAGTGTGGTTGGTGTCTATATTCATGAAAACATCAATAACATGCTTCAGGTGAATGATAAGCCTTCTCACTTAACTACCCCTGACATTTCTACAGTCATCGATCAATCACCATTGTACCCCGAACTGTTTTTTGATGTATTGACCAAACAATCGAGGAAGAAATGGCAGAGTATCCTCCCAGAATGTGCGGCCCTTGTCCTCACGCGGCGCATTTTGAAGACACCGAAGCCGATCACTACTTCTCCAGGAACCAGAACCCGGAACCACATGTTAGGTTCCATGAAGCTACGAACCTGAATGAGCAGAATATCGGAGTCACTTCTGCAAACCTTAGTCCTGATTTGAGGGTGTCTCCTGTTAAGGGGCAGGGTGGAAGTGGTAAAGAAAGGAAATATTTAGGTATGTATAACGTTTGTGAAGCTTATAGAGCAATTTGATGGCGTCACCATTTCGAAAATTACTGTAGAAAATCATTATTCGAATGACCATTTATATATAAATTTCTTGTAATAAATTGAAATTTGGGGTCTAAAGAACTCAGTTTCCCGTTGTAAAAGTGCTGACGTTTCGGAAAAAAAAATTCCTTCTTCAGGGCTCGACAAAAAAAAAGGTTTGAGACACTAACTTTAAGCAACAATTTAAATAATAAAATCCAAATTAAAGGTACTTATGCTGGTTTTCATTTTATAAAATGAGCTATTGGAACTTATCCTTGAATTACTTCAGCAATTCCAAACATATACACACAAAGAGTTAAAATGAAACAAAGGAAAAGTGATTAGATAGATATTCAAAAAACGAATCAAAATTTCTTTTCGCCTTCGATTAGCAGGAAAAAAGAAACTATAGCGAAATTTACTTCGAAGCTGTGGTCGTCGAAATAATAATCTAACGTAATGCACATCGTAGATATCATTCTACTGCAACTGATAAATACAAAAGACGAAAGATTATCACGAACGACAACTGGTCATAGATTGATGGAAATGAGAGAGGTATTTCCAAATAGTAGAAATCTGATCTTTTGTTATCTTTGATACTCGTATTTTGCATTTTTGTTGATGCTATGTGGGGGTGGTTATTTTGTCTTCATGAAATTCATGATATAAGTATTCAAAATTCAAATTCAAATCCAAATTCAAATTAATGGGTGCCAATACGCGTATGTATTTGAACAGGTCAAAGACACAAAAGCCAAATCTGAGTCAAAATAAAATTAAAGAAAACAGACTAAGACATCAAACAACTAAATAAAAGTTTTGTAATGTATGCCGGAGAAACTCATCCATACTGTAGAAAGCACCAGACATTAAGATGCTTTTCGCATTTTCTTTATATTTGAAAATTGTTTGCCCTGATGCTCTGGGGACATCTGACACCTTTTTAGTCTGAACCTGGAAATGCGTCCGTGAATATCACTGTGCATTCTGAACATAACAAGGTTATTCTTCATACAGTTCATGATGTATTGGGAGGGCAATGTTGAAATCTCTAGGTCTCTAAAACCTTGCCTCCAATCAGCACTAAGATACAATCCCTTACTTATCTGAATGGCCTTCATCTGAGGATCAAAGACACGATGTGATTGTGCCGCGCATCCTCAGATCAGTAAAGCGTACATAATACTTAAATCTGCTATGCCTGTTCTTTTGTTTGCTTCATTATTGTGCCTTTGGATCCCCAATATTTCTGGAAAAATCCTTTTAGGACCTCTCAAGAATCAAAGTTGAACACATGACATTTTGAAAACAACAGAACAACAATCGAATGTTGTACAAATATATAGAATTCCGTGCAGAGTATGTAACAAAGTATATACGAGAACAGAAGGGTATTCAAAAACCAGAATAACAGAACACAAAGGATATTGTAAGAATTTCCACCCAAAAAAGGAATACACGCAACTGTCCAACTCATGTTTTCAGAATTTCATGTGTTTAATTTTCATTCTTGCGAGGAAGTAGAAATGATCAATCAAAAAGCTCAATAATGCAGTAAACAAAAGCACAGACATAGCGTATTTGAGCATTGTGCACTGTAACATCATTAATTTCATGAAGACAAAATAACCACCACCACATAATATTTATCATCAAAAAAAGCAAGACATCAAATATAACAAAAAATATCTCAGATCTCTAATATTTCGAAATACCTTTCTCCTATACATCAATATGTCTAGCTATGCGTCGTAATAGTCTTTTGTTTGTTATATCTATTAGTTGCAGTCTAAATGATTTCTAAGATGTGCATAACATTGACTACCATAGTCAAAGGGTGATTTAGCTATAGTTTCTTTTTTCTTATGATAATTGTACGCGGAAGAACTTTTTACTCGTTTTTTAAATATCTACCCATTCATTCTTTTTTTTAATTTATTTTTTTTGTGTGTGTATATGTTGGGGATTGCTATCTTGTTAATGTAATTCGGGGACGCATTTAAATAGTTCATTTTATATAATGTCTTAAGAAAAATAAGTATATTTTATGTCGATTTTATTATTTAATTTTTTATTTAATGTATATGTAGTTAGTATTTTAAACATTTTTTTGTAGAGGCCTGAAGAAGAAATAACATTTTTTCTAAACGAAACTTTATAACACGAACCTGTGTTTCTTTGGACCCCAAATTCTAATTAACTACACGAAAGTAAAAAATTACTTTTGATGCCTTCCAGCCTTACCTTTAGATATATTTAGTTACATCAAAAAAAAAACTTTGAAGCTTTTATTTTTGAAGTTAATATTCTTCTACTCCAGTTTTATTGCAAACTTGCTTCAAAAATTGAAATAAAATAACAAATGTCTAGTTTTGCTGAGAAATATTTTTAGAAGAAGTTCAAAAAAAGAATTGAATTGTTTATCTGCATTTTTTTGAAGGTTTATAATAAAGACAAATAAAAGTAAAAAAATTATGTTTTGCTTGTTTGAAGCTGTTATTTCATAGTCATGTTTCCTAATAAGAAATATCTGATTTTAAGTTATACTTTTGTATTACCTTTTTCTGATATTCATACTTAACAATATTCATATGAATTTCGCCAATGCGAACTTTTTTTTTGTTTTTTAGGTGGAATTCCCCCTTGTCAAGATGATAAACCAATAAATGATTGTTCAAACTCTTGTTTGAATGCCTCTGAGCCTGAATCCAAAGCCTGCGCTTGTTGTAGTGGAAGACAGGAGGAACGAGCAGCTCTGAAAGGACTTCTTAAGAAGGTTGCTCTAAAAAGCAATATACATATCACAAGAATGTTCTAAGTCATACATGAATAAATAACCCTTTTATGGACTAAACTTAGGCACTTATACTATTAACAAACGACATTTTAGTAAGACTCAATATCATATTTTCCAAGTCTATTCTAGATCTGATTTTTGACGTATTCATTACGGATCACCTTGTATATTTTGTTTGATTTCCTCATTTAGGCAGACTCGGTATCCCCGTCGAAAACCATGATGCACGCTAACGCCGGCGATATGAACTCGGGGTCCCAGGCCCCCCTTTCAGAACCCCGGATGAGCCCCGATGAACGATCCCAACCGACTGGGTCCCCACCATGCTACTTGCCTCAACCAAATGATTCCTTGCCACATCCCTTGGATAATAATATGGGCCCCGTGGGGCCATGGGCTACTGGCAGAGTGGACTGGGGACCCCTTTCAGGACTTACAGGTAAATATATGTATGTATGTACTATGAACAGTATACTATAATATGCTATTCAGGGTGTTATTTCAGTACGTGGCCAAACTTCAGGAGGTGATGTATATCTAGTCCAGACAATCCAAACAAAATTTTTAAAATATCTGTATTTAAAAGCATATGGTGCATATCTCCCATTCAACTATTCAAAGAAGTATCTTTTAGATCACTTTGGCATGATCAGTCTTAAACACCGAAGATACAAGCAATCAGATTGGCTGTGGTGAATTTTTGTCCGACTAAAGCTTCACTGTGTCTAAGTTGATTAGTAGGTACTACACTATGTTTTATCCTGCTTAAGCTTTAACAAATATTATGCTAGCATCCCCTTTATATATACTATCGAAATGCATTAACGAGGTTAGCTATCTATTTGATTTTAGTTTGAGTGAACCTATAAAAAGCAGGATACTGTCATATTTTAAAACTGTTCGGAGACGTAAACCTTTGTTAGCTTTTCAGTCCTTTTTAGTATGCATTTTTATGTATTTTAGGAGTACAATTAGCGATCAGGAATTTATTAATTTGCGTGTGGTACTACTGCACTGGCTGGCTTTATGTTGGATTTCTGATATACAAACATAGGGTCTTTTTAGTATGAACAATACTATTTTTATATGCATGTCTATTTGTTTTCCATCACTTGTATAGTGTTTTTAATTGAATCATGTACCTGTCGATAAATATATGAATAAATTAAAATAAAACAAGAGGCCCAGACAACGAGATCATTAGGTTCCTTGTCAACCTTTCCTTCCAGGAACTAGACCTGTTGTGGACAAATACTCAATTGCCCGATACAGTGAGGGCGATTGGAGAGCTCGCAACAAGGAGATCCTAGAGACGGCCGGAGATGAGCTGCACAGAGCCAGGCTGATCGACTGGAATGGCAGGCAATGTCTGGAAAGCGTCCAGAGTGAGACCGATAAGAACCAGGAAGATAACACCAAGAGGCTCAACCAGAGGGAGATGGAGATTCACAGGTGGAAGTGTGAGTTGGAACGGGCCATTGCTGCGTCCTCGGAAGAGATACTTTTTATGGAGGAGCAGAGAAGGAGGCTTAAGCAGGTAAAGATAATAAGTATGGAGCACTTTTATTACAGAAAGCAATTGGCAACCTCAAACCGACAGCAATCCGACTAGGGATATTTATTCAAATATAAACCTTTGCACCATTGAGAGCAGCACGACCAGTTGCTCACCTGTTGCCGGCACTGTCTTCGCTAATCGGTTTGCAGTTGTCCACCAGTTGATGTCATTGTGACAGTTCAGTTAACATTCCGATCCATTTCTCAAAAAATGTTGATATTCAAAAAAGGCTATTTTGGATAAAATACTTTTTTACTCCTTACGGTACTCACGAGGAGGTATTGTAAACGCATTTTTTTTTTAATTGGACCAATCTGGACTTAGAAAAATTATAATATAACCTTGGCGCTTCTCGATTTGCAAGATAAAATTTTGATTAGCAGTCGTTCCTACAATTGTAGGACGTCTTTATGGCCTCCTTGATTTTCACAGTTTCCTACTCTTCCGTGTCAGCGCCCTATTTTGAGGTTATGTTACAAATATCCATTTGCATCAAATTGTTCATGTTTTTGATTTATGTCATCTGTTTTATCATCCTGATATTTCCTGCAATTCAATATTATTTTGTGTCTAAAAAAAAAGGGATGACTTAAGATGACTGAAGGCCCAAATAAGTAATCAAAACAAATTTGCATTAATTCTTGGTGTTGTTTTTGGCATAAAAAATGTATGTCACAAGTCTTTCGCAGAAGACTTATCTATCGCTAGGTACTCTACACACAAAAAATAGTGCTATTGATTCAAGAGCATGAGTTTCTATGAAATTATGAAATTGATTCGAGATCGGAGATACTTCAAATGAGGTAATTTCGTTGTTTTAAAGAAACGTAGCACTTGAAATTGAGAAATTGACCTTAATTCAAAGATATATGTCTTAGAAACATATCTAAGTCACGGTTCCTCAATTGAAGATAGTTGTTCTTGAACCAAGATAATTTTTTTTGTGTGTAATTGCAAACAAATATCTTCTAAATTTCAAGTTACGTAAAAAATTATGTGAATCTTGGATCATATGTGTTCTGAATTACTGTAATATAGTATGCTATCCTTGTTTAGACAGTTGTACCAAAAACCTAATTTAAATCGGCCAAAATAATTGTGTTGGTACTATTTTTGGACACTACAAATTTGAGCATATATCAGCAAAATATTCAATACTCAATTGGTTGAAAATAAATCATTTGGTTAAATATCACTACTCCCTTTTTTATCCATAAATTATTACGTCTATACCCCGTTCCTTGCGAAATAAAACTCGAGACCACTAAGAAATAAAATTATCAGGATACGTCGGTATTCAAAAATCCCATTCCATCGCAGTTTTTGCATAAACATAACTCACCACCAGCTTTTCGACAAAAAGTGAAATAATCATTGCTCAACGATTTGATTACACATTCTGGTTTTTTCTACTTTCCGAACCATCCTCAATGCTTTGCTACTTTTTGATGCACTTTGCTTTGGAAAGTTTCTCCTTTAATTTACTACTAAAAACTTAAATTTGTTGCGAATAATATTTCATAATTATTAATATCTGCTAGTGACTTTTATGGTTAACTACAAGAGTAGCAAACGCTGAATTTCGCTATTTAAGTTTCACTTTAGTTGCATTATAATATTCTTGTAAAAAATAAATACACCAATTACAACTGCTGTTAACATCTTTTTTCTTGCTAAATGACATGTACATCACGAAAAACCGTGTCAGTCATTTCCGTGGGTCTGTCCCGAAAACTGGTCGGATTTGAATGACATTTTTACACAGGATTACTACTACGCCAAGAACGAAAAGCTTTGTAACTTCTGAATCGGTCCAGTGGAGAAAAAAACCAAAAATGAAAAAATATAAATCGTTCAAACGTGTTTTTTTGACGTTTCAGAGAATCCTGTTAATTTTTGAAAAGGATAGGGAGAGGGGCGATGTAGGAGGAGGGGGGAGGATATTCCTCAATTTTTAGATGTTAGTATATGGTATTTATATGCTCCTAACCCCGATAATTCTACACACCTATTAGCCATATTTCACAGATGTGATTCCCTGAACGTCTTTAAAACTAAGTATGTAAGAGAAACGTTTTTGATACGCGTCTTTTTCTGCTATCTGGGCTCAGCACCTGGTGTAACGGTCTGCCTGATTCTTCTGCTGCGGTGCTTGGGTGGGTGCTTCCGCGTCTGACGATATGGGAAGGGGCAACGTTGCCAGCTGGACGGTAACTACCGGTAGGTCAAGAAAAGTATGTCTATGTATTAATTGTATGGGCATGCTTCACTGACTTGATTCATTTAATTTCTCTTCTGTACATCATCGTAAATAACTTGTTCCTCAGAGGGTCTAACTTGCGCGGAACTAAATTCTTTATAAACTGATGACGGTATTGCATAGGAAGTGCAGAGTTAACTTACTTGACACCATTTTTCATAGAAACTTTGGTATTATTTTGTATGTACTATATGCAGCCTCATATAATAAGCAGTAATAAATAAATTATATTTTTATCTACAAAGAGCGTATTCCATGAAAATCCCTGTATATACTCATTCCAATGTACCTGTCACTGTCATAAAAAACTGTCTATTGATACTGCTGAAACCTTCAAACTGCAAGCGCGTGTTTGGTATTTATTCGCTTTAAATTTACACCAAAGGTTCGAAAACAGTTTTCAAGATGCGTGAAATAGTGCATATTCAAGCAGGTCAATGCGGCAACCAAATCGGCGCCAAGTTTTGGGAAGTCATCTCAGATGAACATGGCATCGACCCTACCGGAACATACCACGGAGATTCTGATCTGCAGCTGGAGAGGATCAACGTATACTACAATGAGGCAACTGGAGGGAAATATGTCCCAAGAGCTGTTCTCGTCGATCTGGAACCTGGAACCATGGACTCTGTAAGATCCGGCCCCTTTGGTCAGATCTTCAGACCAGATAACTTCGTATTTGGGCAAAGCGGTGCAGGCAACAACTGGGCGAAGGGACACTATACCGAGGGAGCTGAACTAGTTGACTCAGTGCTAGATGTAGTAAGGAAAGAAGCAGAAGGGTGCGACTGTATGCAAGGTTTCCAACTAACACATTCCCTGGGTGGAGGCACAGGTTCAGGTCTAGGTACGTTGCTGATATCCAAGATTCGTGAGGAGTACCCGGATAGGATCATGAACACCTTCTCAGTTGTACCATCTCCTAAGGTGTCAGACACAGTGGTAGAACCATACAATGCCACACTATCTGTACACCAGTTGGTAGAAAACACCGATGAAACCTACTGTATAGACAACGAAGCTCTCTACGACATCTGCTTCAGAACACTTAAACTGACTACGCCTACTTATGGAGACTTGAACCATTTGGTGTCAGCCACCATGTCTGGAGTCACCACATGCCTCAGATTTCCTGGACAGTTGAACTCCGACTTGAGGAAATTAGCTGTGAACATGGTGCCTTTCCCACGTCTTCACTTCTTCATGCCAGGCTTTGCGCCATTGACATCAAGAGGCAGTCAACAATACAGAGCACTGACTGTACCTGAGCTGGTGCTACAAATGTTTGACGCTAAGAACATGATGGCTGCCTGTGACCCAAGACATGGCCGATATTTAACAGTAGCAGCGATCTTCAGAGGTCGTATGTCCATGAAGGAAGTCGACGAACAGATGCTGAACATACAGAACAAGAACAGCAGCTACTTCGTTGAGTGGATCCCGAACAACGTGAAGACAGCGGTTTGCGATATTCCGCCGCGCGGACTGAAGATGTCATCTACGTTCATAGGGAACTCCACCTGTATCCAGGAGCTGTTCAAGAGGATCTCCGAGCAGTTCACGGCTATGTTCAGAAGAAAGGCCTTTTTGCATTGGTATACTGGAGAAGGTATGGACGAGATGGAGTTTACGGAAGCGGAGTCTAACATGAATGATCTCGTGTCGGAGTACCAGCAGTACCAAGACGCGACTGCGGAAGAAGAGGGCGAATTTGATGAAGAGGAAGAGGCTGATGAAGGGGAGAATTAATAGAAGATGGATGTCATGATACCCTGTTTATCGTCAACAAAATATTTTGACTCTAAATTTTTCTGTTACTATGTACTGTACGATCTCGGTGTATACTTTTTTTGAATTGGAGTCTAAGATATTCTTAAAAGTAATTGTATTTTATTTTCGTTTTGAACACGATTCAGAAATCTCAACAAACTAACCACAAAACCCACTAGATTTTTTGTAGCTGATAATTAATGAGACAAAGAGGTTAATTATGTGTATGGATTTTAGGCCATCGGCTAATTGCCTAATACGTTTTTCAATAGTTTGGATGACGTTTCAGACGATCCTGATCAATTTTGGAAAAAAAATTAGGGGTAAAAAGTTGGAGAGTGGGAGATTGTAGGGGTGCGGGAGGGTGTATCGCAATTTTTTGATATTAGTATTATTGATACACTTGCAGCCCCGGTGATTCAACGCACCTGTCAGATATATTTCTCACGTTATTTCCTCATACATTTGCTCTTAAAACAGAGAAACAGTTACAGGCGCGAACTGTACGTCTGTCGCGGGAGTCCTTTGTGCAGCAAACCCTGTCTGCGTATAACTGCATTGATGGCCCTCTCGATTTCGAGCTATATCAGCATTGCTAGATTTCTCGCGAGAAAAAGCAGGTAGCAGGGGATATCTGATGCTTGGAGTATAATTTTATTAGGTTTCATGAGGCAATATTATATAGTATAATATACAAAGTATATAAATACGTATCAAGTGCTATAATTATCAGTTATCAAACATTTCACACCAGAGCTCCAAAGAAATATGAATTAATATCTTAATATACTCATTAACTGTACAAAACAGCTTGGTTTTTACACAATAAAGTTTCTGAATTGTTTACAAAGAACAAATAAGTGCTAAATGCAAAAAAAAACAAGCATGGCAATTATATTCTACCTACTAAAATAGCTTTGACAGAGAAAATAGATCTTGAATTGAAGTATAAAACCAACTTTATTGGAGTTCACATATGTATATGAAGCGCTCAAACAGCAGAAACATATGAAAAAAAAAACAGAAAATAAGTTAAGCACTCTGAGGGTTTTAAAGAATTATTTTGATTTTGGTACTCTAAGAATTATCTACCATGCTAATTTGTAAGATATGGAATAATTTTTCATGCAGATTTATTCACAGTTAATCGAGTTTTCATGGTTCAACCAAGGAACTCTAAGATATATATTTGAAATGTCAAGAAGACGATCATGCCGAGGAAAATTTAGATAATATTTCAACTATAATTGCTTTTTTATGTATGTAGATACAACAGTTTCGGCCTACTGCCCACGTTAGGCTTATCGAGGTTATTCCAGGATGTGAAATTGAAAACTTTAATTAATTAATAACTCTTTTGAATCCGTTTGTGGTGTCTTCTAAAACGTGACCAAGGGTTTTAATAATTTTTCAAAAAGAACCTCATAAATCCAGTTTTTGATTGATCGAACTATGTGGTCTTACCCACATTTTCTTAGATCAAATTTTAGCACCAATGTCGGTGACTCACTTCTGTTGATGATAGCTTAGACTATAGAAAGCTGGAGTTGTAAGTTAAAAGAGTACACTTTGCAGAATTTGTTGAGTTAAAAAAAAAACAGATTCTTGCACCACTTACCTATATCCTACTCAGCGTCTCACTTTAACAGGAAGGAATGTAGAATATAGTTGTTTGAAAAATTTGTATGATATTCCTTCAGATATAAAAAAGTAAGAAATTTGAATTTCTTTAAGAAAAAAGTATATAGATTTTTATTAGGTCTAGACTATTTAGCAGGATTTTAGTTACTGTTCTCTTTATTTTCTTTGCGTTGAAGTTATTCCACCTAACATTTTCGGTGCATACATGTATTCTACATTCTTATTTGGAAATAAAAATTTGTTGTTATTGAAATGAGACTACCATGTACGGACATACCATTGCTGCAATATAAGGAAACTTTTTTTCATGAAAATCCCACATGGGAAATTCAATCTACTTGACGCCATTTTTTCTTACTCGAGCATACTCACGATGACGTTCGCTGTTGCAAGAAAATTCAATCTCTTAGCTCAAAACACGCATTTTATTGATATGTACTGCTTTCAGGCAGCTTCTGTACTCACGATTCCTGAATCAATAGCTGGAGAATGCATAGATCGCAGAACTGGTCGATTGGACTCAGAGCTGGTGAGAGACGATGTCGAGGAAGAACTTATAAAAGAGCTTGCCCTGTGTTCTGAGATCAGAGATATCTTCTCGAGGACGCTCAAAGATGTTGAAAAGCAGCTTTTGGAAGATAAAACTGCTAAGCAACGGTAATTCAAAGCATACCATCTTGATCAAAAAGTTCCCGGAATGGTCGTCGTGTGGCGTTCGTAGCACTCGGCTATCAATCCTGTTTGTTTTGCTATGGTGCCCAACTTTCGCTTATATTCCCCCCGAATTTTGGCGTCATTTCATTATCAGTTATCAAAGCTACGTTGTGTTGAGTAATGTGCCTTTGAGTGTGTTCACGATTTATTAGGATTTTTAAAACGGATCTGAATGAACAACAACGCGTTTGCATTAAATTTTGTGTTAAACACAGTATCAACGGTATGCAAACCATGGAAAGGCTAGGAAAATGCTTCGGCAACGATGCTTTGAAGAAGATCGTCAGTCCATCGCCGATTATGAGCGCGGTGGCAGGCCATCGACATCGAAAACAGAAGAACACGTAGACAAAGTGAAGAAAATGTTGGCCACCAACGGCAAATTAACTATCAGAGAGATGGCAGAGGACTTCAGCATTGCTTATGAATCCGGTCAAAGCACTTTGGTCAAAGATTTGTTGGTGCCAAGAGACTTGAATTTCATGCAAGAAAATGACCGTTTTGATATCGCCAAATACATGATTTCCATGGCTCATTCTGGCCCAACATTTATCAAACGCATCATTACCGGAGACGAGACGTGGGTTTATGGGTACGACACGCAGTCACGCCATCAGGCGAGAGAATCGTCGTTTCTAGTCGATAATGAAGGTAAAGCTCACGGTTTTCATGGATTTCTTCGGCCTGGAGCCTAGTGAATTCTTGCCAGAAGGTCAGACTGTCAACAAGGAGTACTATTTGGATATTTTGAGATGTTTGCGTGAATCAATCCGTCAAAAACGCAGGCATTTGTGGCGAAACAACTCGTGGATCTTGCACCACGATAACGCACCATCACACAATGCCATCATTATCCGTGAGTTTTTGGGCAAAAACAACACGAATACCATTCAACAACCACCCAGTTCACCTGATTTGGCCCCTGTGTCTTCTTCTTGTTCAATCGAATCAAAAAGCCACTGAGAGGAGCCCGTTTCAGCAGCCGAGAGGAGATAATGGAAAAATCGAAGATGGCTCCAATAGAGATACTTAACATCGAGTTTAAAAAATGTTTCGAGGACTGGATCAAGCGTTGGCATAAGTGCATTGCAGTCAATGGGGACTATTTTGAATGGGATAGTATCGATTTTGAGCAATAAACTTGTATTGTTTATTTTTTTAATAAATTCCGGGAACTTTTTGATCAAGGTGGTATGTCTCAAAGATTCATATTTTTTTTTGTTTGAACTCCGAAATGTCTTATGCAGGTTTACAGAGGAATCTTATCGTTCAATATGGTTCAAGGTCAACAATCGAAATTAGGCTTTTGACAGATAAGACAGCACAAAGTGCCATCTATTACCAAAATCGACCATAGCGAGAGGGTAGTGCCTGTTGGAAATGTATCCCAGTTCGCATTTGACTACCAGGTCACTACTGTGACCACTAGAGGCCGCCGATTCTGGTAGTATAGTAGATGCGGTCTACTCGCCAACAAACTAGTGATATAGATTTTGTCCATTCGACCACAGCCGGCCAACCATGGGCAGCTAATTCGTGTTTTTTAGCAACTCATCAGCATTGTTTAGGCTTGAACAACAAATGAAAGCTAAGCAACTATCTCTATCAGTGGTAACCCGGGATACAGTTCCAACAGACAGCCTCTGTTTTACTCTAACAGTGGTTGATTCTAGTAATAGATAGCACTTTTTGCTCTCTTATTTCATTAGACTTTTGGTTAAAAGACCGAAACACTCTTCCTGTATATTTATAATAATAATGAAAATCGATGGTCTTTATTCATCTTTCAAGGTAACTTAAGAGAAAAGAATAATGGAAAGAAATGCGTCGTTCAGCCCACGCGGCTTTTCAACTAACCCGATAAAAATAATATATAATACAAAATAGAACATAAGAGAATATCGCCAATACTATTTTTATAAATGTACAGCGCATCAAAAAAAAAGAACACGACGACTTGACAAGAAACATACTGAGGCACTGTACTTCGAAACGCAGCGAGCTTTGACTATATCTTAGTCCTTTGTTGGTGCAGGAAATCATCTCTCAATATTTTTTTAAAATTGTACAGGCTTAGATTTTTGAGATCTACTGTAAGCTGCTATTTTTTTTAGGATGGAGTTTGATTGGAGCGACAAGGCAGTATCACTCCAGATCGATAGTACTAACATGGCTTTGAACAATCGTTCAACAATCTTGCTATTCAAACCTGGATCGGTACGGTTCCCAGATGAACAGTCTACTCCGGAGTACTGGGAGCATTTCACCCGTGAAACTCTCCTGGAAGGAGAGGCCACTAGGCAAAGATCTGCTACACTAAGAGGTATCGCAACAATTGAAATAAAACATGCGCTTCATATCAGCCAATACATTGAAAAATGATGGAGGACGAAGAAATAGTTGTGCCCTTTAAGCCCGCTTTTACTAATCCAGTACGCAAAATTTGCACTTATGGCACAAATTCGACCAATGAGAAGGCGTTTTTGATGTAACGGATATAATGAATATGCTCGATTTCTTATTAAATATATCTAGTACATTATATAGTCAAGGTCAGCTGGATGTCATATATACAGATATGGCAAAAGCTTTTGATAGACTGGAAATTTCAATTTTCGTATTCTCGTCTTAACTTACTGGTCGTCGCTCGCATATAACATAATTTATTTAAGACTTAGCGGTATTTGGTCACCTCAGAAGTGTCCCAATGGTCAAACTTAGGTCTTGTCCTGTTTCTCTATGATAAATTTGAATGTTTTACTTCGCTGTTCGCTGACGACTCAATACTATTTTGTCAAATTAACACCATTAATGATGAGCGGATCGGACCGCTCAGATGTAGGAGATTAGAAGGGACGTTCCGGTTTTTGTGCTCAAAATTGCTCTTCGTTAATTTTTAATGTGTTCGGGTGCATTGATATATAGTGTTAACATCTAACGATGGTTTCCGTCTTTATCAATAAACCCAATGTGTCCGTCCGTTCGGATTTACATTTGTAACAAGTGCTCTCATCTCCGCGTTCGTTTTGAAACACCATTTGGCTGCAACCTCAAAACGATCATTAAAAATCCTTTGGGTCTCGTGAAAGTCGCACCATAAATAAAAATCGCTTCGATTTTTTCTTTCAATGGACGAGAATTGGCCATTTTAAAAATAGTTCAAACAGTATCTAGCACTGAAACCGAAAACTAAATAAGAATATTTTAACTGTACAATGATGTTTGTTTTCGTACTGATATTCTTGTCACTGTCAACAAAAAATAACAAAACAAGTTTTTATCGCTGTTTCTGTGGATACGGCAGGAAATTACAATTATTTGTAGAGATATGCATGTTAGTGGGTTTGTATTCAAGTAATTATTAAATGCACCACCATTTTGTCGTAGGTAAAGGTATTGACTTTATACTCTAGGGTTATAAAGTACTCGCCAGGAGCTTCAAAATGATGTGCCACAAGACCCCCGTTTTGATTAATTTTTTTTCCAACATGACGCCCAGCGGCCATCTTGACATTTTCATCTGTCAATTTTACACGAAAATATGGTATCCAAGCATCAATTTCATTACCTCAAGTTTTAATTTTTGAATTGATCCGTTCAAAAAAAGTGGAGGGGGACATTAAAGAAAAGCACTATATATATATATATATATATATATACAGGTATATATATTCTGAGTCTTGAACGATGTGATACTATTTGAGACTTGGGAGTAACATTCGATAGTAGATTGAGTTTTGAACATCACATATCTCAAATAATTTCTGATGCATACAGGTCTTTTGGTTTCATAGTTAGAAATTGTAGACGTATATTTCATGACGATGCATTGAAAATTTACTTTGCCTATGTAAGATCAAAACTGGAATATGTATCAATAGTTTACTATTATCCCAAATATCCTTTTATGTTCCCACAGGATCAGCTATTATTTTGTACGTGTGGAAATACGAACTTGCTATTAAAGTCACCAGCTAAGGTAATGTCCCAAACTTTAACGAATTTTGTAATTTCTCTGATATATCCTATTTTGAAAGTATCCTTAGTGAATTATGTGATTATTTAATTATTCACGGTAATATTACCTTGTAATTGAAACATTTCTGTTGGTTAATAAATGCTCTATCATTATCATTATTATAAAATGTTTCTCAAACTAGAGATTTGTGTAAGGTTTTTCGCACATTAGTCAAGTATATTGAATATTTACTCGATGTTTGTTAAATAATAAGCATTCTGTAATTTTACTCATGACTTCAAATAATGTATTAAGCAGAATTTTGTACAACAAGAACAAAAATCGTCGATCTAATTTTACTCACATGTAGCTGACCTATTTTTTATAGCTAACCTCAATAGTTATGTCGATGAATTGTTAAAAATACATATATTTTTTAAATTATCTCTTTCTGGTAAGTAGTTTCATTGTTATTTTCAATAAAATGCTCAGTAATTGCTGTCATATCTATCAACTATATTAGGCACAGATACGGATAGGAGATTAAACTGCGTAAGAGATTCATATGAAGCCAATCATGTCGCCAATGATGGTGTGGCTCTCGGAAATATAGTGGACGTACAACATGACGTAGAGTGTCTGCGCTTCAAAAAATGACAACATAACCTGCCGCAATCTTTAAATGCATTTCACTCACATTTTTCCATGCTTTGTAGCTTTAATACTTTGTAGCTTATTAATATTATGCAATATTTCTGCTTGCAACTCGTCTGAACTGTAAAAATTGGAGTTGTTTATAGTCATGATGACAGCAACACAGAGAGATTCCACATGCGCAGAACCTTAAATTCATTTTCTGTGCAGTGCACGTACGAGAGAATTGGCCTGTGCGCTGCACCTGAAATTGATTTGCCCACTCATCGTCGACATTTTTGGTGTCAACCCCATTCCATGAACTTAGCCTCCATTTCTCTAGCCTTCATTGTATTAGGCTTAATCGGGCTTCGAGCAGGCCGCAGATCACAAATTTGTGTGTCTGGAGCTAAATGGCTGAAGAAGTTTTTGTAGCTAAAACAGGTTATATATGAACTATTTTTTGATTGAATATGAGAATTACGAATTTACACAAATCGAATAAGTTTTCTCTGGTTTGAGAGACATTTTACAAGAAATCCACCATATGCATTAAATCCATTACTCCAAAGACGCCTTCTCATTGGTCGTGCCATAAGCGCAAATTTTGAGTCCCTCGGGTCAATAGTCAAATCGGGCATTAATGACATGTTTCTGTCCTTAATGTTTACACTAGTATTTGCAGTTTCGACCAGCTTTTCGGTTTTCAGGCACCTTGGACGCCATTTTGATCAACGCTGCTAGAGATCTCCGTACGCAGTCTGATAAAGTAGAACTAGCTTTAGCCAAACGAGTTGCTTGTACTCAAGAGGTCACCAACAGGCTCGAACGAGACCTTAAAGAAGTATTTGTCTGAGCTATGGTATTGACAATTCTCAACACAAAATATCTTTCCAGGTCCTGCATAATTTGGCAACAGTGGAAGACCTGATGGCTGATTTGAGAGCTGCTATCAGGAGAATGGATATTCCGATGAAGAAAGCGCAAACCAGGCTTGATAATCGTTTGTTGAGACCAAGAGTGGAAAATTGTAGAGATCCACCTCATTTTGGTTTGATTGAGGAAGTTAAGTCTATTGGAGAGGGAACAGCAGCGTTACAGGTAACAAACAGTTAAAGAAAAAATAATGTCCTAAATATTGCCGGTAAACGCTGAATGCGGACTATTTCTTTTTCTTTAGTCCTCATGTTCTCAAACTTATGTATTTTATGAGTTTTATAGACACCCCTGTGACCCATATTACATACCTCAACTTGAACTGTCAGATTGTAATTCTTTTCATGAAATTGCGAATTCGTATGCTAGATTGCGTATTTTGCAAAAATCTATACTACCAACGGTTTGCACTATCTGTGTGTGTTGTCTATTTTGAGGTTACACCAGTACCATACCTTAAAACCATGCTAGCAAAATGCGGGCTGCAGTAGTTCAGGCAAATATCAACAAAACAGCTGTTGTACTATTCCTTCATAGAATGCGCTCATGGCATGTGTACCGCTGGTTCGAATCTTGCAATAGCAAATGTCAGATTATGATTTCTGCGGTATAACCATATGGGTTGTAGATTTTAAAAGGCCTTAATATACATTTAGAATCCAATTTTTTATAATACTTATCTTGAATTTTAGGCTCAATTGAATCAAGCAATGCAGTCTCAGGCAAACTTGATCAAAGCAAGAGGTGAATTGGAAAAGGAGATCATGTATAAGAGAAAATCTCTGGATATTGACAATGAGAGGACAAGAAAGATTAGATCTTTCTACCCATCTGCTGCGGCACTATCCGGATACACATAAATGAAGACTGAATATTATTTGGACAATCATACAAATAAAATCTTGTTTTGTCGACACTTAGTTTCTATTTCCGTCTGTTTGTCAGCCGTTTCTTCGGTAATCCTTGATACCATGGTAACTCTACACTGCTCAGATGTTGATTAAACTTTCTCATAAGATCTATTCATCTAGTGGCGGAGTTACGAGCGAAACTTAAGTTTCCAGGATGTCTTCAAACTTTGTTTTCTGATGTTATTCGACATCCATACTTCTAGGCGTAATAGTACCATTTTTTTGGAAGTGTTAATATTATGGATAGATCCCTAACCTTATGTCGACGTATAAGTGTCATGCTGGTCTCCTATGTAAACTTCCATCTTATGGGCTTCTAAAAAAGCTTTGCAGATTGGTGGGTGACTTCCTCTCTGGCAGCAAGATATATGTCGTAATTGACGAGTTCTCCTCTTCATCCCTCAATATCAACACGTTGTTCCCCATGGATCAGTCTTGGCTCTGACATTGTTCATCTTACATGTCAGCGACCTTCTTTTCTGTACGATCAATCTAATCCACATATTTGGTGATGACAGCATTTTACATGCAGGAATTCAGAGTGACAAGCCGATCATTACCGGTGAGCTGGAGAAAAGATGACAAGCAGCGACTTCCTCTATGACGAGAGACAGACGAGTACAGGTTATCACTGCTTCCAACAGGTAGTATTGCACATTGACTAGCGAAGCGCATAAGCACTCATCCGGCTTCGATGGATGGCCGAATTCTAGCAATGAGGCGTTGGTAGGAGTCCAGACCACAGATGGCTTGTTTTGGCACGAACACAAATCATCAATCGCGGCAGCTGATGGAAAAGATGTCGGTTGTTTGTCCAGGCCTTGAAAGTACTTTTCACCAGATAACCTCTTCCCTTCATACAAGGTCCAGATATGACCTAGCCTCCAGTACTGCTCACATGTTTGGGGTGCTGCTGCCTCATCTATACTATCTATGTTCGATGCTGTTCCAATGAGGGCTGTTCGACTGACTCTTTTGTAGCGGACAGTCACTATGTCAATGGGATTTGCTCCTTAGAGTTCTTCTCCACGATGCCGCCATTTGATGAGCCTGCCAGACAGACCCTCCAGGCTTCTGCCTCCCACCCTAACTCTGTCCATTTTCCTGTATCCAGCACTTGCCGGTACGACCACTCCTTTGTCCCTAGAGTGTCGTGATTGTGGAATAATCTACCTGAGGATACTTTTCCTTGTTCTACTAACCTTAGGCAGTTCGGAAAAGGGATTAACAATGTATCTTTAAGCTCCTTATAGCAGGCGTCATGCCCCTGTATTCAGGCGTTTACCTACTCGGCTGCGTCGAAATAAAGAAAGTGTAACAGTACTTACCGTTTTTGCAAGCGCACGTGTCAGGCGCCACACAATCTCCGTTGAGGCAGGTTTCTGAACAGTGAGGCGTGCATTTAGATCCAGCTATGTCCAAGGTCCAGCCAGGTTTACAGGAACATCTAGAAATAAATGTGTAGTCTCAGTCATCCGAATAGCAGTATTTATGGATAGATAAGCATTGCTGCTATATGGGTAGGTACTTATTGATCTTTAACAGAACGTGGAAAGTATTTTTTGATATTTGCTAATATCTGTCTAGAGACAAATGCCAAAATGAAACACTATCATTAAAGGCATCTTAAATGAAACCAATAATATGAAAATCGATAATACCAATCAATAGTTACACTAATTATTCTGAAATGTACATTTAGTCTTCCTAAACCCTTAACCAATCAACGTACAAATAATGATCTTAAAGAAAAAGTGCCAGTCATGTTTGCGATTCAAAAAACTATTCCAGGTATAAGTTAATTATATATATATGGGGAAAAACGGCCGGTTTAGAAAGTTGCCTTCAAAAACAGAATTATGAGCTGAATATAAAGTAGTCAAACAGTACAAGAAATTTGGAAGAACGATGGTATTACAGATGATTTTTCCACTATATGAACTCAGACATCCAGAAACTCTTGATAAATATTCCACTTTACTACTATCTTGTTTACAATTTTCTCATAATGAGTATCAAAATTTAATTGAGAGTCAACTAAAACCACAAGGTGTTTAAAATTTTCTACGAATTCAATATCTTCACCATCAATATTTAGTTGAACATCTGTATATTTGTTAATGTATTAATGGCCCACCCTGTTAGTAGTGGCGTACGAAGGGTGATGCGAATCTTGTTTTTGGCACTTGACTGTGTAGTTACATTTTTGATATTTGAGTAATTCAGAGTGTCTCATCAAATAATGATAAGCTTAACAGCGAGATACAGATATACTTACTTGTTTGGTGCTATACATTCTCCATTCAAACACCCCTTAGGACAATCGGGTATGCACGTATTTCCTTGTAGTTTGTATCCAGGTTTGCAAGAGCAAGTATTTGGTCCAATGCAGGTACCTTCTCCACATCCGCCCTCACAGTAGTACCCACATTTGTTGGTTTTCACATCTATAGCAAATCTATAATGAAAAAATTTAATATTTAATATATCCCTGACACCTTGTTGGAAGATTAGTGCGTTGGCAAGAGTTCAAAGTCAAATAGATTTTTTTTGTGAAATATCTAGTTGGATATACCATTAAAAAAAGATAACAAATATCCATATTTGTGCGGCCAAAATAAGTATAGGATGCTTTGCCAATTATTTGGTCTGTGGCCCGTGTTCATGTGCTAGATAGGTAGATAAATATACCTTACTGTCTGAATAATAAAATCGTTCTCAATGATAAATTTAACTTAAAATTAAACTATAACATAATTATATATTATATTGTATAATATATTATGTGGATCTCAAGTGGGTGAATTATAGAACCACAGATGGTATTGGTTTACATATTAAATAGTTTTTAAGTCCACAGCGAAATAACTTTAAAATGTTGGCTCTTTTGATAGCATCAGGAAGACACATTTAAGACCATTATAAATCATTCTGTCGTTTACAAGAGTGGGTTTAGGTACTACTAATTTAGGATCTTATTTACGTCTAATACTGTAACTTACATTTAATATTTGAAACTTTTCAAAAGTAAATAAAATGGACAATGATACAGTAGTCATTACATTAAGATTTACAAATAATTGCCTGCATGTAGATCTAGGATTCCTTTTTTACACAATTTTGGGAACAGACGTATGTATAATGTAAGGCAAAATAGTTGCTTAAGGCTATGCTTTTATCTACGTTGTAACTAAGTGATCTTATAATAAAGGGAATCTTTGCTAGTTGAGTAAGCAATTTTGTCTACATGATTAGTAAAATCTAATTGGTCAGACACAAAAATTCAATGGAGTCTGTTTTGTGTATCAATTCATTATTTAAATTTATAAAATCAAAGGAGTATTTAGATTTCATGATTTTAACATTGAAAGTCACGTATTGGTTGTCATAATTTTTTGATTGATTGTATTTAACTATCAATTATTGTCTTAATTTCATTTATAACACATCGGCTGAAAAGTTCATAGCATGACTCACAGATGGCGCCACGAACGAAAAGTCATTATTACCAAGAAGTGTCATCCGTCAAACGTTCACTGTCAAAATTTCACGACATTCCGACCATTTATTCACTAGTGACAGTGGATTTAATGACGCTACTTCGGTAAATTTAAGAAAAATGCAAAAATCCAAATTTCGTGTGCTCATAAAACATTGCTTTTTGATGGGGAAAAATACTGTGAAAGCTAAATAATGGCTTGATGAGTGTTATCCGGACTCTGCTCCATCGAGACAAACAGTAGGGAAGTGGTTTGCTGATTTTAAATGTGGTCGGACAGAGACACGTGATGCTGAACGCTCTGTTCGTCCAAATTCGGGAGTTACTCCGGAAAATATAAAAAAAAGTTCACAACAAGGTACTGACTAATCGCAAAGTGAAATTGGAGGAGATAGCTAATGCCCTGAAGATATCAAAGGAATGCCGGGGCCATATTTTGCACGAATGTTTGAGTATGTGAAAAACAACAACTAATTGATGATTCTGAGGCGTGTTTGCCGTTATTCAAGCATGACAAGAAGGATTTTTTTCGTCGATATGTGACCGTCGATGAGACTAGGATTCACCACTACATACTTGCATCCAAACAACAGTTATCTGAGTGGAGAGAACGCGGCGAACCTCGTCCAAGACGACCAAAGACGCAAATGTCAGCAGGGAAAGTTATGGCTTCCGTATTTTGGGACACACACGGTATATTGTTCGTGGGCTATTTAGAAAAGCGGAAAACTATCAATAGCGATTATTACTGCGCGTTATTGGAGCGACTGAAATATGAAAATGCCACTAAACAGCCGCATATGAAGAAGAAAAAGATCATTTTTCACCAAGACAATGAATGCACCGTGTCACAAATCGATGCAAACGATGGTCACATTGAAGGAATTAAATTTCGAATTGCTTCGCCACCCGCCGTATAGTCCAGATATGGCTCCCAGCGGCTATTGGCTTTTCGCAAACTTGAAAAAAAATGCTTCAGGGAAAGAAATTTGGCTCCAACGATGAAGTGAACTGAAGCATATTTTGAGGCCAAGGAAAAATCGTTCTATAAGACAGGCATAGAAAAGTTAGAACAGCGTTGGACTGATTGTATCGCTCTTGAAGGAGACTATCTTGACGAATAAAGTTGAATTTTGCATAAGCGTGTGTTTTTTCTCACTAGCCCTATGAACTTTTCAGTTGATGTGTTATGTGTGCCAAAGTGTTGTGGTATTGTCAGCAAAAACTACGAATATTTATATTTGAGCTTATTGAATCATTGTTATATACCAATAATAGGATCTGATCTTGAGGTACCCCTGTGTTTATATTTAATGTATTTTGATGTATTTGAAATATTTCTTGATAATTTTACAATTTGGGATCGATTATTTAAATACGTTTCCAACCAATTGAGTGAAGTTTCAGTACAGCCATACTTGCTTAAGTTTTAATATTAGATATATCATGATTTACAGTCAAAAGCTTTGGAAAAGTCGCAAAAAGAGCTATTAGAATCTATTATTACCCA